ATTCCTGGCTGGCAGTTTTCTTCCTTCAAGGCTTTATATATGTCATCCCATTGCCTTCTTGCCTGCATGGTTTCTGCTGAGTAGTCCGAGCTTAGTCTTATTGACTCTCCTTTGTAGATGACTTTTCATTTATCCCTAGCTGCTCTTAAAATTCTCTATCTTTGGTTTGGGCAAGTTTGATTATAATATGTCATGGTGACTTTCTTTTGGTATCTACCTTATGTGGGGTTCGATGAGCATCTTGGATAGATAACTTGTCATGTTTCACGATATCGAGGAAGGTTTCTGCCAACAAATCTTCAACAATTCTCTCTGTATTTTCTGTTATCCCCCCAGTCCTGGTACTCCAAGCACTTGCAGGTAATGTCTCTTGACAGAGTCCCACATAATTCTTAGGGTTTCTTCATTTTTTCTAATCCTTTTTTGTGATTTTTCCTCAAATAAGTTGATGTCAAGTGCTTTATCTTCAATCTCACTAATTCTGACTATCCATTGCCTCAATTCTGCTCCTATGACTTTCTATTAAGTTGTCTAATTCTGAAATTTTATTGTTAATCTTCTGGATTTCTGATTGCTGTCTCTCTAGGGATTCTTGCAGCCTGTTAAATTTGCCATTATGCTTTTCTCTAATCTTTTTAATTTCCTGTATTGTGTGTTCTGCATTTTGCTTAATTTCCCTCCTCATTCCTTGAAGAGTTCTGTATATTAATCTTTTGTATTCTGCCTCTGGAAATTTCAAGAAATTTTCCTCCTCTGGAAAATTTCTAGATTCTTTATTTTGGGAGCTTGCTGAAGCCATCGTGGATTGCCTCTTTATGTGATTTGATATTGACTGCTGTCTCCGAGCCATCAATAAGTTATTATATTTATGTTTGCTTATTGTGTCCTAGCTTCTTGTTTTGTTCTGATATGCCCATATAGGCTGCTCGTATAAGCTAGTTTGATTATTGGCACCTTTGAAGCTCTAATGTCCTGTCACCAGGTGGTTAGATCTGTTACTAGGTATGTGAGCTCAGGAGTCCACCCACTCCTCCTGTATGGATTCAGCTCAGGTGCCCAGATAGATAGCCACCAAGTGTGTGGTGTAGGCTCTCACTTACAGTCCTAAACAGGCATGGGTGACTGGTGTAGGCACAGGCATCTGGCTGCAGCAGGGGGACACACTCTGAGCAAGGCTGGGGGCTGACGGCCGCCCCCGAGCATCCAGGAGGAAGGCGTATCCCTGCTTCCTAGAGCATGCAGGTGGGTGGGTTTTGTAGCCGGACTATGAGCAACTACTGCTGTTGGCTGTAAGGATTAGGGGGCACCTCTTATTCATGGACCCCCATCACAGGTGGCTAGCTAGGTGGTGTAGATGGAGCCACCAGTCCTCAGGCCCCTGATGTGGGTAGGTGAAGACCCTGCTTAATGGGCAGAGCAGTGTCAAACTACCTGCCACTTCACAGTTGAAACAGTTGAAGTTACACTTCTGGTATATACGCTGTTGTACTGCAGTAATGAGGGCCTACGCTGTTCAGATGGGCCCACCCAAGTCTATGTAGGGGGAAAGGCACTCAAAGTCCATGGATCCCTTAAGCCTGTGCCTAGGCAAAGGCACTGTGCATACCTTGGGTTCCTGGCTTAGGGGAGCCGGCAGTTTATTTTTTCTCTGTTTGTTAATTTGTTCACTTTCCAAGGCAGGGAAAATGGCTCCCGGCGTGTGACGGATCCTACGTCCGGCCCAGGGGACTCAGCAATTGCTGAAGCCGGTCCGGAACCCAGTGCAGAGCAGGCAACAGGGAGGTAAATGGGAGAGAGGTTTTTCCCTAAGGGGGGTGTTTCTGATCCACATGGTAAGCTGTATGCAAATACTTATCTTTCGTCGACGGCTGCTTCTCACTGGTTCTGATGGCTAAGTAGACTCTCAGCAGCTGGGTCCTGGTGCAGAATACGCCTCCCAAGCACCAATGCTCGCCTGCCTCACCACTCACCCCTGAGCTGATCTGGCCTGAAGGGCTCAGGCTCTCGCTGGGTCAGGTCTGGCAACTCCTTGCTGCTTCCGAACTGTCTCTCCCTCCCCTTGCCACTCAGTCCAGTTCCTCAACTCTCCGTTTGATGTTCAGGGCTCCCAGATAGCCATATATAATCGAATCACTTGTTTTTTTGGGGTCTTTGTTGTAAGAGGGTCCGCTGGAAGCGTCTAACTACTCTGCCATCTTGGCTCCGCCTCTTCTAGAAAGCATTTTCTCAAAATTTTATATAGTCTACAGAAAATAGTCAACTGAAGGTATCAACAGTTTCAAATTTATTAACTACAACATGCAACTCTGAAGAAGACTGCAAGCACTTCTATGAAATTAAAATGAAGACCATATTGGTAAAAATATATATACATCCTTCAGAGAAATAGCAGAAAAATACTAGATACAGATATGCATAAAAAACTAGCAAAGTAAATGAATGGATATTCTGCTTATTATATTTTAATGTTCAGGTGATCAACATAAAGATATATTTTTTATTTTAATTTAATGTACACAGATGTGTTATTTTAACTTTTAAAGAAAACCTATTTTTGAAAATAGTTTTTCAATAAAAATATTTTTCTACATCTAGCTGTATAATAAAACAAATTTGTGGGTCAAATTTTAAAACATTATATAATTTTAATTATCTTAAACACCCTTTTCACTATCAGGAATGTTTCAGTTTGTATAACAAATAATATAATCATTGTAATTATATACTAAATTATATTACATCTTACTGAAGTAACGTTAATCATGATACGTGAATTTGCAGAAAAAAAAACTGTTTTTGGTTCACTTACAGGAGTTACTTCTATCTGTACGTTGATTATCAGAAAGAAACAAAGCTGTGTTGGGACACAAAAGCGGAGCTGCCACCCAGGCTCACTCCCTAAAAAAGGGGCTCATTCCAGTGCAAAAATCTTCATGAGAGAGGGTAAAATTCACGCTTTGCAAAATTATACATAATTCCGTGAGACATACTATAGGATCCCTTGAGAAGAGTGGAAACCGTTAAGTGTTAAATGCTCAAGTGCAAGCAGTAAGAAAACCAAGAGTCTTCATTTAGGAAGTTTCTACATTGCTGGTACAGCCCCTTATATATGTAATCTCATTCAAATGCTCACAATTTTGTAGGGTAGCATTATCCTCACAGCCTTCTGGACGACGAGAGTTAAACGTGATCTTAGCAGGGCCACTTCTGTTCTCCTTCCCTGGATCTCTCCGCTGAATTTCTGGCTGGTGTGCCATTTTGTTGCTTCTTGCAACAGTAGCTTTCCCTGACTGACATCAAAACCTCTACTGTCTGACAATATCCTTTGGTGTATTTTCTAAGCTCTGCTCTAAATAAAGTTAGCCCTCTCTGACAGGGCAGCAGAGCTGCCAATCCTCATGGCTTGCCTTACCTGCTTGCAATAGAACTTGAGGGGCCACAGAGCTGGGGGGAGGGATGTGAGCAGATCTTGGATTAAAATATTCTCTGTTCTGAGACTGAATAGTTTTTCTTGAGTAAATGCTTCAAGGGGTTGAATTTATGCCCTTTGGTTCATTTCCAGAGATCTTAAATTTTTTTTTTTTTTTTTTTTACAATTTTGCCTAGTTTATCATTGCTTTTTTGGGAGAGGATTTGCCAAGCTCTTCACTCAGCCATTCTACAAGTTCTGTTCCTACACTTCATTCTGAATTTTTTTTCCTCCCCTCCCAATGTTCTAAAGATCAAGAACAAATATGAAACTGAATCATTTAGTGAACTCTGAAGTCTCCCACTGAGCAGACAGGGTTAAGCCCATGAAATTTAGAACCACTAAAAGAAAAACTTTACCCAAATCAAGCCCAGAATGTGGGTCCCAACATCTTCAGAATTCCTCAATATTACTTGAACATAATACTTTCTGTATGTACTCTTAAAGACTGGGTAAAATAGGTCTTCAGACAAGAGCAAGATAAGGAGCTAAATAAAGGGGCTGTGCTCAGTGAAGCCTGAAGTTGCCCTACCTGGGCTCTCTCCTCATCAAACTCCAGGCAGCCCATACCATCCAGTCTCTGTAGATCAATCCAGCCTTTCCAGATAACACAGACTCCATTCAGAATCATGGGAGCCTTCAAATACACCTAGGACACAAAAAAGAAGGATGAAAACCAATGAAAAATTAAGAATTATAGAAAAACATATCAACTATAGCCTCTGATTATATTCTATAAATTAATTTGGTCTACCAGTATTTTATTTCTAGTCATAATTATTCCAGATTATTTTTTAAAAGAAGTTTTGTAAAAGTTTACAAGATTTGTTAAAACTGTAGTAAGGTGTTACTTCAAATTGCCATCGCTGTTCTAGTTGAAGCTGGAACAATTACAATTACATACTTTGCTCTGACTTTTCAGTCTTGGCTAGAAGGATATAAAGATAGAAAACAACTGAAATCCACTCGCCTGTGAAGAGAGCACACACTGCTTCCCTCTATTTGAATCCCTGGAGTCACCCAGGGTCAGGCTCTTCATATTGCCCTTCAGTTTTATAAGCTACCTAACAGTAATGCTGCTTTTTATCTTTATCTTTTTACTTAAGTTAGCTAGAGTTGATTTCTATTGCTTTTAACCAAAGAACCTTAACTACTATAACATTTACTGCCATATCACATTAGATGACACGTGGTTTATGCTTAGGTTTCCATAAAGATTTCAGGCAAAAGCACTGCAATCTTTTATATGGATTTTAATTCAAGCTATTTCACCATCTTTAAAATATAGTGGAAAAGCTTTAAAGTCACATATCAAACACTTGTCTAGAAACTGCTAAGTTAACCCAAAATCTAGTTATTTCAACTTACTGTTGAAATTCTTAAATACTTTTTAAAATATAAAATCAATTAAAATTTAATAAAAACTTAAAAAGAAATAAAGTTAGGCATCCTGAGTTCTTAATTATGAGAATGTTTATTCCTTCACATTACATTTGAGTTGAGAAAATCGGCCAGACTTCCCCCATATCACATTCAACAACGGTATCTGCTGTGCATTAAAGAAACATCTCAAATGAGTGTCCTGGGGTACTATAAAGTCTTAAATCACTAACAAACTAAAATATGTTCACTATACTTTATGCACTGAGGTTAAAGAAGGTTTGATAAGTTTTAGAAACATCTTCAAAAAGGGCTGATACAAAAATCATCTCTCATCTTGTAATCCTTCAGTTTTATCAGAAAACTCTGCCATTGTCCATCCAAAGTTTCATTACCTTTTCCTCCTTAAAAAACAGTCAATTTCTTCATCATTCTTTTTTTTATTTATTTTTATTGTACTTTAGATGAAAGTTTAGAGAGTAAATTAGATTCTCACTAAACAATTAATACACACAGTATTTTGTGACACTGGTTGCCAACCCCACAGCACGTCAACACTCTCCCCTTCTCGACCTTGGGTTCCCCATTACCAGCTTTCCGGTCCCCTCCTGCCTTCTTGTCCTTGCTCCTGGGCTGGTGTGCCCATTTAGTCTAGTTTTGTTTTATGGGCCTGTCTAATCTTTGGCTGAAGGGTGAACCACAGGAGTAAATTCAGTACTGAGTTAAAAGGGTGTCCGTGGGCCATACTCTCGGGTTTCTCCAGTCTTCATCAATCCTTTCCGAGTAAATAAATAACCCTAGAGCAAAAGTCACTTTAGCTATGATTTCCAAGATCAGGTTATATTCATTCTGCACCATCAAATTAATTCACATATTGGGTCAAAATAAGTGTTCTCAAGAGCAATTAGGGATAAAGAAAGGCAAGATGCGAATGCTACCATCTTCAGGTAAATATTTTATTGTAATCCAGATAAGAAACATAAGAGAAATTTGTTACAGTTCCTACAATCTTGCCACCCCGCCACACTATCCTAAATTTATCTTTTTTAGTTTTATTTTGTTGTTACTGCTGAGATTATACACAAAATATACAAAACAAACACCAAGTCAACGGTTTCTACATGTACAATGCAGTGACACTGATCTAACAGTTACTTCTTAAAAACATTGTTATTTTAGATTTTTTTCTACATCATTTTGGGCCTCTGAATAAAAATGAGCATAGATTCTTATCATTTACTACCTTGAACAAGGTTTTAAAAATGTACAGGAAGCAGGACTTCAATGAGCTTTCAAAACTCCAGGTTACTAAATATACCTTTACAAATGAAGTTCTTCATTTACCTACACAAAATATATTTTCTTTGGAAAATGCCAGTCCTTTGTGAGCTAAAAATTAGAATGTTATTATTACCTTTCTAATTACACAAAATTGACGAGGCAGATTCTCATTTTGAGGAAAAAGCTGGAAGCATTATTTTTCTCAATTCAGCAGTTTCTTCAACAAAGAATCTTGGGACTTCCTTGTTTTCAAAGATGTTTAATAAGAAAAACTGACTGCCAATAATTATAAACATGCTAGGAAAATTACCACTGGGACAGCTGTAAAATAAAAACCGGTAGGATTTATGCCTTCTTTGTATATACTTACGTCACTCACCTCCATTACTAAACACAACCATTTTTCCTATTAAGAGCTCCAGTAAACCATGTTGAAGCTACTTCTACTTATATCATACTTGTATCAGAGAGAAAAAAGAAAACATAAGGTTCCATTTCTCCTCCCATTTGGACCAATGGAAATAGTTTACAGTTATAGCTGAAACCGTTTAACCACACATTTCCTTCTGTTCTGATAACTGCTCATTCCCTTCCACTCTGTGAATTTAAAATTCCACCGATGTGTCTGTAGAGTGACTGACGACCTCATACTCTACACCTCACAAAACCTAAAAACAATACCTCCCCTATATTTCACACCAATATAATCTGAATTACCACATCTTCTAATCAAGATTTAGAACTCCCCCTTCTAACTAGGGGAGGGGGGAGCACGCAGTGGGGCATAAAACATTTCACGTATGAATCCGTATCATTATTTTAAATTCTCATACTAATCATGAAGAGAACTCTTCTTAGCTAGTAGCAGACAGGTCAATTTCATACCACTTTAATCAGATTTTGTGTTCTTCATCAATGGTTTATACCTTTTAGAACTGAGAATTCCATAATCTCTTAGCTTATTCGTACTTATCAACTTCCACAATCAAAAATATTTTCCTTACTAAATTAAAAAAGCCCATTTATTCCTGCATTACAAATGTGCTCTTATGACAAAGAATACCACTGATCTGTTTTGGGAAATTTCTAAACGGCTTCAGAAAGTGGCTACAGTTCTGAATCAAAGCTAGTGTCTAGAATCATAATTTAAAATAATATTTAGATGATCCTGGTGATTTATTTAGATTTTCACATTCAAATAAACATAACTTTATGTGTAGATCTTCAAAGTAAATGTTTGGTGCTTGTATGCATTTACGAAGATCAAACCTCAAATACAAAGAAAAGAAAATTTGTCATAGTTTGGCATTTTGTAATTCAATAATGTCATTTAAACACAAAGACATTTTTCACAAAAATGATGATGCCATAAACTTTGAGGAAGAAAATTTATTAGACTATGACCCTAGGGATTAAACCCATTGTCATAGAACAATAAAATATTTTACACAAAATTGATTCCATAAAGCTTTTAATTTACAAAATGAGTAAAGAGATTCAGCTAATCACACAAAAACAACAAAATAGCTTATCATTCCAAAAGTCAAATATCAAAGAATGTGTTTGAGAGTTCACAGAAGATTTAAAGTGACTATGGCTTCATTTTGTATTCTTTTGGAAATAAGATAAAAGTTAGTTTAACACAATTTTTATAAACTCAAGCTCTAAATACTAGCGCTTGCAATGCTATATTCAATCTAGATTATACATGAAATAACTTTATTTTATAATTCTGTAGCTTTAAATTCTGTATCAGGTAGGGTGATAACAAAAACATATTTACACCATCAATTGATAAATGAATAAATTAAATGAATTTTTTAAATGTGTTATTATCCATGCAACAGAATACTCCAAAACAAAACAAACCCGTTGCCGTCAAGTAAATGCTGACTCACAGCAACCCTACAGGACAGAACTGCCCCATAGGGTTTCCAAGGAGCGGCTGGTGGATTTGAACTGCTGACCTTTTGATTAGCACCTTAGCTTTTAACCACTGTGCCACCAGGGCTCCAATGGAATATTATTCAGCTATAAAAAGGAATGGAGTACTGATACATGCTGCAACATGAATCAACCTTGAAAACATTATGCTAAGTGAAAGAAGCCAGATAAAGGCCTTATATTGTATGATTCCATTTATATGAAATAACCAAAATAGGCAAATCCATACAGACACAAAGTAAATCAGTGGTTGCCAAAGGCTGCAAGGAGGATGGAATGGTGAGTGATTGCTATCGGTATGGGATGGCTGCTACATAAAAAAAAAGGAAATAACAAGTATTGGCGAGGATGGGCAGAAACTGGAACGCTCATCCACTGTGAGTGGAAATGTAAAAATGGTACAGCCACTGTGGAAAAGTCTGGCAGGTCCTCAAAAAGTTAAACATAGAACTATCATATGATTCAGTCCAAAAGAACTGAAAGCAGGGACACAAACAAATACTTGTACACCAATGTTCACTGCAGCATTATTCACAATACCCAAGTGTCCATCAACAAATGAATTTATAAACAAAATGTAAGTCAATCCATATGATGGAATATTATTCGCCATAAAGAGAAATGAAGTTCTAATATATGCTACAACGTGGAAAACCTTGAAAACACTATGCTGAGTGAAGTCAGTCAGATATAAAAGGACAAATACTGAATATTTCCACTTATATGAAATATCTAGAATAGGCAATGTACAGAGACAAAAGTTATTAGTGGTTACCAGGGACTGGGGGAGGAAGGAATGGGACTTATTGCTTAGTAAGTACTGAGTTTCTGTCTGGAGTGATGAAAGAGTGGAAGCAACTGGAATTCCTCATACACTGCTGATGGGAATGGAAAATGGTAGAACTATTTAGGAAAACAGAGTGGCTGTTTGTTATGAAGTTAAACACCCATCTACCATACTACATAACCAGTCCACTCCTAGTTATTTAGCTTAGGGAAATGAAAGCATATATCCACCGAACAACTTGTACTTGAATGTGCACG